TTTTGCTGATATATTTTCCAGGGTTGACTGTGTCTGGAGCCAGGTCTACTTTTGAAACCTTTAAAGCAGTCCCATTAGATTCAGACGGCTGAGGAAATCATCTCACTCAATGTTTTTTAGTATAAGGACCTTCATCTGGACATGTTTTTGATGAGCTATTATCTATTTTAAGCAGCCTACTTTAACTTAAAGTTGATTAAAGCCTCAGACTTCAAAATGTTAAGATACACGAGCCCCCTAGGGGTACAATTTATGAACTTACTCACTAAAGAGACAGTATAGTTGTACAGTATACATATCAAAATCACACAAATGTGTGAAGGAGTGTTGAAAATCAGTTCTCAGTTATGTAGCCAATTACTTTATATGTATTTCCTCCCTTTGAGCATTTTACAGCGAGATCCTCCTCCACAGTCTTTGACTAATTACTGTGGTAGAGCCGCTGCTTTTGTGTAACTAGACAGGCTAACATGGAGGTGTAAGCCTTTGAATATGTGGATATCAGTTTAGCACAGAAGCAGAAGCACAAAAAGTCAGCACCAGTGAAATGTTTCACTCTCAAATGCTATCAGTCATTTTGATATTACAGTGCGCAATATAAGAAATTATTTTTGGTATATTGATATGCTCTATTGATAGTCAGAAGCAGGGAAAATTAAGTTAGAAGACTGATTTGAATAATACCTAAAACAGGTAAAGCACTCTTCAAAAATGTGTCTCAATGGTTTCAAAGTTATTTTCAGCATCTTGCATTTGTGCTTGAGCGTGACACTACTTGTTTCCAAGCCCACCCACACATGTTCGCCTCTGCGTTTTCCCCATGATTGCTGTCTCACACATTGTTTCAAGCAGCTTGTCTGATTCCTGCTGGTTATCTGTCCTCCCACCCCACCAGTCAGTTCACTCTGTAACCTATATCACATAGACTACTGCCTAATACAACCTGAGCACACACTGGGCGAGGTGGGGGTGGAATGACAGCTTCTTCTTCCTTGCAGTTTCCACACCCAACACTGCCCTTTATTATAATTATAATATATACTGACATAGCTTTAGCTGATGTTATTAGGTATTTAAGACAAGTGAGCAATATTTTAGTTAAAGATGTTTCTCAAAGTCAAAAGGCGTGGAATTGAAAAAATAAATAAATAATACAATTGGAAGCATCATTCCCAATTCTTAATTTTCCAGTGTCACTGACTCTCATCCACGCATGAGTGAAGTCATAGTGTGAAGAGGAAATTTTATCATGAGCTGAGACTGATGATAAGGTTACTTGCAAACACCCAGACAGATGGACTCACTTTTTTAAAATGGAGTGTGTGTGTGTGTGACAGTGTGTGCATAAATGAAAGGGTTTGAAAGGGCTGGCATCTTTCAAATGGAGGCATGACAGAACTGGATAGGGCAAGAATGGGGTGAAATTATGTGTGGAGGAAATAGATGATGAGAAGTCATTTTTTCTGCCTCTCTTTGTCTTTTTCATTCCTCATCATTCGTCATTGTTTTCAATATTGGTTAGAACCATTAATAATAACTGAGCACCAATAATAATTCATAATAATTGAGCACCATTTCAGCAAAGTTTTCAGTGAAGTGTACAATATCTTGGTCTGTACAATATATGAAATGCCTTGTGTATTGTTTTATACAAAAGAAAAGCCAGAAAGACAAACACAGTAGCCTGTGATATAGCTATAGGCTAAAACACACTATATCATGTGAACTTCTCTCAGTGTGTCACGCTTAGGTCCATGCCATGCGGAATGGCCATTAGTCCTGCAGCCAATCTCCTTGCCCACAGCATGCCCTTTCTGCTTATATATGTGCAGCTTCACAGGGGCTTATCCAGGAGGAGAAGAGAGTATGGAGCAGTGCTCCATGTTGATGTGAGGACGACCCACTTGATAAACAGCCATGAGCTTAAAAAAGGACATTGAAGAGTGCCAAAAGACACAGAGAGAGAAAGTGGGAGCATGCATGTGTGCCATGCACAACATATACTAAAGCTTTAATGGATTATAGCTGACTACAGATTATAGTTACTACTAATTTTAGCATCTCAATTATGCATCTATTTGATTTATTGTCAGTCTCATCTTCTTAATTCTACAAACATATACAGGGAATGCATATAGTGTATTTGGCTTGATTACTAAAAAGCATCCATACATTGTATGTATTGACTGCAAAAAATTTATTCAGCCACACTGTTTTCAGAAAATTGTGTTTAGAAAATTTAATTTATATAAGCATAAATTGCTTATGAAGGGAATTATGTCCATACTAATTAAAGTTAAAATATGCTTGTGAACTGATTAGAAGTTACTTGTTACCTGAGTCTGAACGATTAAAAGTGGGTTATGGTTATCTTCACCTTTCTTTAGAAAAACACATTGTCGTTTTTTCATCATGAAATATTTAATTTTCCATTTATCACTTCAGTGAGCTCAATTTTTATATTTGCAATTTAACTCTGAAAGACCTTCCAGCCTGGGATCTTGTTATAACAGCTCATGCAGTATGGAGCTGAGGGGAATGAAACTGGGACATGGCGGTTGGGGAGATGTAAGAGATGATGATTAATGTGTTACTTATGGCCTGTGCTGAAGGGAGGGGATGAAACAGAACATTTCCAAAATTCAATCAGATTCCTGTGAGCAGTATTAGTAGATTCATTGCCATTGTCTGTCTGTCTGTCTGTCTATCTATCTATCTATCTATCTATCTCTCTATCGATCTATCTATCTATCTATCTATCTATCTCTCTATCGATCTATCTATCTATCTATCTATCTATCTCTCTACCTATCTACACTGAACAAAATTATAAACACAACACTTTTGTTTTTGCCCCCATTTTTCATGAGCTGAACTCAAAAGATCTAAGACTTTTTCTGTGTACACAAAACGCCTATTTTATTTTATTGTCTTTTATTGTAATACAATGGATTGGGGTGTCACATCTCCTTTGCATAGAGTTGATCAGATTGTTGATTGTGGCCTGTGGAATGTTGGTCCACTCCTCTTCAATGGCTGTGCGAAGTTGCTGGATATTGGCAG